GTGCGCTCAGTCTCCCCGTTGTATCTGCTGATGCTATTTCCGAATGGCTTCTAAAATAAAGAAGACGGAATATCGTGAACTTAAGAAAGAATCAGACCTCATTAAACAGAACATGATGTCCGAATGTTGTTATGAAATCAAGCAATAAAACAAAGATTTTCACAGCTGCAACTCTGAGGGATTTCAGCATACTTTTGTTAAAAAGGAAGAGGATTAAAATCGATTAGAATTTCCCAATCTTTAAGTGACTGGATTTGACAATATAAATTTCTACACAAGATCTTTCATTTTTTAAACACAAGCAGACTCAATGTTATAATGCCATTGTTCAAGGGCAAACACTAATAATATTTGCTAGGAGTTAGATAAGGTAAAACTCAGTTAGTTCATTCACTGGTTAGCAAAAAGGGGGAAAGACATTCACTGGCCCAAAACAGCCACCAAGGGGAAATTAACAAGCAACAGGCACTGGGGAAGCCCTGCCCATGACCCACAAACTGCCTCCTTGCTGGGTTCCGGCTGCCTGGTTTCTACTGAGCCCCGTGTTCTCTCTGCCTGCCTGTGGGTCCCCGGCCGCGAACCTGCACCCTCATCAGGCAGCGGAGAGCATTTATCGCACCGAACAGGGGAAGTGCATCAGCTTGCAAAAGACCTTCCTGGCAACGCGTGGCTGAAATCTGTCACTGAGCTCCCGTCCACATCCCTGATACGTTATCACACTAATAAAGCAACAGGAGAAAAGCAAGTTAAAGATGCAAGTATGTCCTCGGGAGGCCCACTGGCGAAGGACGGCAGTGATGTGGTGTCAGGTTCTAGCTCCAATCAAAGCCAGACCGAGCGGTGAGAAAGCTCAACGTGTACCTCAGTTTACCAAAGTGCCAACAAGCCGCTCGGCAAATACCTCGCTCTCCGCGGCACGGAGTGACGCCGTGACCCCGCACTGCGGGAACTCTGCTGGGTGCAAGGTGACAGGACGCTCACGCAGCGAGGCAAGGTACTGCGCGAGGTCACGATGAGGCACCACGGCCACAAGGTGCAGTGACTGTCCCAGCCACACGCAGCACAGCGATGGTCTTTCCCGGGCAACACACCGTCCTCACTCCCGCGGCGGCTCCGCCGGGGAGGAGCACGGCCGGCCTGCGGCCCTCGGGTCACCAGGACTGGAAGAAGGTCACACTGCAAGAATGTAACGGGCACTAAATGCTACAAATGAAAATGCGACAGAGAGCGGCACGTGTCACCCGCCTGGTAAGGAGAGCCGCTGTCGGATGGAACGTTCGCGCTCACAAGCAATTCTCAGAACGCGAGGTGGAGCGGTGGACGGACACTCTTTGGCCATCACGTTGGCCAAAAAAAGAGGCCAGTTATGGTAATTCTCAGAATGAGAAAATGGGCATCACACGCCAGATAGTGGTATAAACCTTGCGCAAGCAATCTCGCAGCGTGTATTAAAGGCCTCAAACCCGCACTACCGCCGGCCTCGCGGTTCCACTTTTAAAAATTTATCTGAAGGAAACATCAGATGTTGTATAAGCATATCTGCTCACCACAGTGAAAATTTAGAGAAGAGGCTAAAAGCCTACCCACAAGGCATTTCAACAATGACGTCACATCTGTAGAATCTGTGGTCTATCCAAACAATACCATACGACAAAAATAACGTACAAAAATGTAATGCATGTTATTCCCGATATATTTTAAAATTTACAAATCTAGTTTCAAAACGGTGTGTATTTCATCCAGTTGCTTAGGGTTATTAAAAGTCTGTGTGCCTTTTACCCAGTAAAGAGGTAATATTAAGTGAATAGAATAAAAGATCATCTTTATTCAATTATTTTTCTTAAAAATCACTACTAGGGGCGCCTGAGTGGCTCAGTCAGTTAAGCGTCCAGTTCTTGATTTCGGCTCAGGTCACCATCTCACGGCTCATGGGACCAAGCCCCACCGATAGTGCAGAGCCTGCTTGGGACTCTCTTTCTGTCTCTCTCTCAAAACTGATAAATAAACTTACAAAAAGAAAATCATTTCTATTTAGCCTGCCATCTGAGACAGCCACCGCACAGGGGCCTACAGGCTTGCACAACGACCTTTCCAAGCTTCAACTCGGAAAGCAACTCCTTTGAAGTTACCGTCGTGGGAGAGAAGTGGTCGAGGCTCAAGGGCAATGACACTGAGAGACCAAGAATACGTTTTTAGAACCCAGTGACGTCCCACTGTCATTTTATATGTGAACATCTATAAACTATAAAACTTTTTCAGTTCAAGCTACAGTCCTCCTCCATTTCCAACGTGAACACTGCTCTTTTTTAAAACCACAATATTAAAAAACACAGTATCTTTTAAAACCACAGCACCCTCGTAACTGAACCTTCTTTTTCACCGGTAATCGGAGCCTCGCGCTTCCTACTCTTCCCGACCCCGCGTGAGGGTGTGGCCTTCCCGAGCCGTCGCGTTGGACGGGAGGTCCCCTCGCTGCAAGCAGTCTGGCGGCACGGCACGGAGGGAAGCCTGTTGGGGACCCGACCCCGGACGAGGGCCGAGGCCTCGCGCGAGCCGTGTGCACCCACCAGCACGAGCGGGGTCAGCTTCACTTCCAACACTTCCTTCCTCATCTCCTTAATGTCGGCCTGGTGCGAGGCAGAGGCGGATCGGCGGGAGCTTCGGGGAGGTCGGCCCGGGGATCGGGAGCGGGACCTGGACCTACTCCCTCGGCGTCTGGAGGGAGAGCTGGAGGCTGAGCCGCTCTTCCTTTGCCTGAAGGAAGTCAAGGGCTAGAGACGGACAAGAAGGCACAGTTTTACCACGAGTCAGACCCGGTACCGTCGGCTCTGAAACCACCCCGGGCCTCAGGCCATCTGAGTGCCCGCTGGGCCCGGCCAGTGACACATGGGACGCACGCGACCGCTCCACGCCTGACCCTTCTCAGAAGGCAGAGCCACGCGGAGTGACCGCGCCTAAACCAGCAAGCCGTGTGCCTTCCAACCGCACAGACTAGAAGGGCTCCCTCCAGCCCGCTGGGTTAATGGGTGACGGGACCGGGACGGACGGCAAGAAACTCGGTCCTACGGTTTCACTCTGGGCGACACGCACAGGCAGGTCTGGCAAATGGGCGCGAGGTGCATTACGCTCAGCGACGCCGCACCCCGCCCTTTCCTCTCCCACCTGAGTCCGTGTGGCCCAGGACCGAAGCGTGGCTTGACACTTTTTAAATGATTGCAGACAAGAGCAGAAGGAAAATGCAACTTTGTGACACCTGAGAACCCCTGAAATTCAAATGTCAGTGTGCACAAATGAAATCTTATTGGAACACAGCCACGTGCACCCACTCCCGGCCTGCCCTGCTGGGGGCCGCTCTCACGCTGCGGAAAGATGGCCCAGGAAGCCTAGAACAGTTACTATCTGCCCCTGTCTTCAAGAACTTTGCCCACCCCCGGGCCACAGGCCACCGGTTCAAGAACCGTTTCTTACTGATCTGTGACAAAAAATGAAATCGAGAACAGATGTGGAGAAATTTTTATAGCATTTTGACAAAGTAATTTTAGGCTTGTTGACTCTAACAATAAGAAGTTGGGGCTTTTACTATGTCTTTTTCTCCATCCGAAAATAGAGCCATCTTTCCGGTACTTTACATATGATTTCCACCCCTGGGATCAGATCATTTTGAGCCCAGGCGCTCACAGACACGCCGAGAAACCCTGGGCCAGACTTAAGTCTAATCAGCGTCACTCTCCTGATTAAATCCTTGGTGGTCAGGACGAAGCCCAGACCCCTCCGGTTCTGCTCCCGTTTAACCCACTCCTCGCCCACCACGTTCTTGGCCCTCTGGGTAAACCACCCCCGTGGCCCCCCCCCACCCCCAAGCCGTTGGCATGCCGCCCTCCACCCCGAGCTCCCTGTGTGGCCTCGGCACCTGCCCAGGTGTCCCCTGCAAGCCTGAGACTGGGACCCCCCCCCCCCCCCC